ATGAATTGCTCGAGGCTATATTTTTTTATTTTTTTTTATAAATTTAGTCCGAACCTTTTGATAGGAAGGATTCACAAGGACAGAGCCACCGCTAAGCGAAGCTTGTTGCGGTGACCCTGCCCTCTACCCTCCGATCGCGCAATTCCGGTTCTATGGCAGAATTTAGAGTCCAAAGTTTAACGTGCGCACATAGCCGCGCACGGCCGGTCCCCTCACTGACTTCGCCTGGCTACGGCCTGCCACCAACCGCAACCATACCTGTCAGGAGGCCCATAAATGTCAAGCGCCCGTCGCGCTTCGAACCCGGACTGTCGTAACCGGGAACGCGTGCTCTCACCACGCGGAGTCCAACGCTCTACCAACTGAGCTACGGGACCGGCATATTTTATTCTTCATTGAAAACTGGTTTAAGGGGTTGTGATGGGCGGGGAAGCCAGCTGTGGCAATCTCGGAAACCGTTGTTCTAAGAATAAAATCCTTGCCACAGCTGGCTTCCCCGCCCATCACAACCCCTTAAACCAGTTTTCAATGAAGAATAAAATATGAGGGTGCAAATTTAATTTTTTATTTGTTGATTTGTCGTGGAACGCCCCTGCTGCTATCACCAGTAAAACAGGGCCCAGGCAAAAATTCCTAACAGTTTCAGACCAGTCCCACGCACAAGGGGGAAAAGCTCAAAAAATTGAGCGCTCAAAAAATTGAGCGGGCCCCATTATGAAGGAATAGGCGAAACGATGGTATTTTACAATGCCTTTAGCGTCACACTACGGCAAATATCGTATCCAAATAAGGTATCAAATGGCAAGAGAGAGCAACAAGGTTTCTTCTCGAACACTCGCCGTGATAATTTATATCGGTGTTTTTGGAAAGAAAATGCCCTAAAGACGCTCAACTTTTTGAGCGCCACTTGTCGTTCGGGACCGCGATACTCAATAAATTGAGCGCCACGACAGACGACAGTCAGCTGGCGCTCAAAAAATTGAGTGCCGGCCAGCATCTACACTCAATTTTTTGAGCGTTCTCCGTGACAGGTGAAGCCGGTACTGGCTGCCATTTTTGATGTTATGTTCGTTGAAATACGTTAAACTGAGTTGAAACAGAAATGCAGGAAGTTGAATGCTACGTAGTACCTAAACTTTTCACAAACCCATGGCATCATGTCACATTTTCCGCTAGTAGTTTTATCGGTCTGTCGGATTCGGCACACCTCAAATAATTGTATAAGGCTTGAATAATCCGTATGAATACTGTAATTGATATTCTCTGACTGTACTGGGAGAAGGGAATAGAATACAGAGATATCCACCCACCCTTGAATATTGGAGAATTATAGCAGGAAAAACTGTATTGCCACGGTTACAACTTACAAGGCCATCGGCCGCAAACAAACAAGAATACTATACAATGTGGGTTAGATTCACAAACATCATCAAGTGTGGAACACAGAGACGAGCAAAACAACATCACATTATCGCATGCCAGCCCGACCACATTGGAACCGGGTCCGGGTGACCTGCGACCGGAACCTGCGTCTTGCCAGCATACATCACAAAAGCAGGAGGCAGTGTCGTACTGCTTTGATCCAAAATATGCCATATAACAAATGATATAAACGACCTAAGCTCGGACTAAGCTTTTCATTATCAAATCCTTAACATGTAAAAGACGAATGGAAACATCGAGTCTCAGACCAGCAGTAGCAACGATCACAGTAGCAACATCACAAAGAACACGCGTCATTATCAGACAGCCGTTTTGTTATCGGGCTACAGGCGGCGACGGCGTGGTTGCAGACCAGCTGCGAGGTAGCGGCGTGCGGGCAAAAGACGCGGGCACACCTCCATGTGGCCGTGCGGACAGTGCGCGGTCGGCGTCGCATAGTGGGCGGCATCGGGCTGTCCCGGGCCGTCGAAGCCGCACAGGTTGTCGGCGCATGTGGGCGCGCGCGGTCACCACGGCCAGCTGCTCACCGCCAGCACAGACTGCGCAGCGTCGCCGCTCCGCCGGCCAGAACACGCAGACAACCCTTCTTGCAGTCGCACAATACGTCGCCAAACTCATTCACCTGCTCCACCATGTTGTTGATGTCACCGAGTCGTTCGAGTTGTGGCTCGTGCCGTCGAGCATGACCTGCCCGATCGGACACGGGTCAGCGGCTTCTGCTCCAGCGAAGTCTTCATCTTAGTGACGTCTTGCTGATCTCCACATAGGCTGAGCAGATGACCTTACCCACAGAGACGGCCGACGTCCTCGCCAGCGACCGCTTGGTTGTGCAGACCTGCCAGAAAAAGAAAAGCTGTTTGGTGATCTCAAACGATTTTTTTCTTTATGCAGTGGAACAAAACGGAAAATATGTCATACAACAGGAACTAAAAAAAAAGATGCAGCCTAGGTCGTCTAAGAAATGGGTGCAACATTGATAAAATTCTTCATTGAATGAATTCTGCAAATGCTTTTGATAAAATGTGTGGTGATTATAAGGAGACCACTTTACTATAAAATTGCTCAGGATTCCCTATCTGGACCTGTCAAAAAAATCCTGACTGCACACCAACAATGAGCATTAAATCCAAAACCTCTAACAGGTACCTAGGGATAATTAAATTCTGATTCAGGAAAATATTTCACATCATACAAATAAAAACCTTTACTATATTGAAACTGAAAATGTGATGCTGATCCAGTGACCTAAGGGTCTCAAAGTATAACAATGAATTAATCGATTATAAATTTGGTGGTGACTGCCGACTGGCGTCTGGCGGCCTAGACCTTGAGGCTTGAAAGTGGCCTTCCTTTTCCGTTGACTCCGATCCTCCAGATGGAAATGATATAAAGGATCATTTTTATCTTATTTCATATGAGCGAGCCAGTCAGCAAAGTGGCTATCCTGTTTCAGCATTCACCCACACAATAGTTGACTGTCAGTCTGTCCAGCTGTCAGTGTTGTGAAGTAATGAAGGAGTTGAGTTTTGTTGATTATAAATTGTGATGTTATGCAAAGGACTGGAAAATGAATGTGAAAACTATGGAAACATATTGGCAGAGTATTGTCACTTACTATCAGGACATATGGATAGAGAATACATTCAAATTAATAAGAAATGCCAAATATCAAGCCTATCAAGGTACTCAATCACTGATAGCAGTGGACTATCATATGTTTTAATGTCAATTATATGAAAGTTAAGACTGAAACTACCTTTTACCTCATCATAACTAATGAAAAATTGTGTGACGAAAACATTCACAGCCTCTTTGAAGCACTTAGACCACTAAAAAACAAAAATTTTCACGTAAATATGTTGTGTCTCCTTCCTTCAAAACATCATATCGGATGGCGCCACTTTCGTCGACAGTTACTTATCTGCACGCAAATCGAGGAAAACGTGAATTGATTGACGTTTACGTGTTTCCAAATTTAAAATCACAGCATATTCAAACTTTTCAGTGTACCTTTTAACATCTAAGTACAACTAAAACGATAAAAACTTACCCTCAACACAAGGACGACGACAACCACGCGACCGGAGACGTCGCGACGAAATAAACAAACGGCGCCGCCAAATGAAAAATATTCTCCGATATGGGTAATGTGAAATTGAATCGCAATCATTTTGGGTAGTATGAAAAATGCTCTTTCCAACAGAACCCTAGTAAAAAACGTGAATGGACAAAAAATAACTTTTATTTCGACATAAATATTGGCCTGTTTTTAAGTCATCCTGGTATGCCGTAAGATTTCGACCTATAAATTGGTGTTCCCCCAATCATTGAAGCTTGAGCAGTGAAAAATATGAAAGCCTAATCTGTTTTGCATCATTAGTGATTCTCCTAGGGTGTTGCCATTTCTCCCTAGGTGTTGCGAGTTGCTTTTGCAAAACGTGTTCCTGAAACGGCTCAATTTTTTGAGCCCTCAGCATTACGCCTATGGGAGCCTCTGACGTCACACGCTCAATATTTTGAGCGCTCAATAATTTGAGCTTTTCCCCCTTGTGCGTGGGACTGAGACAGCTAACAGCTGCATAAGAATTCAAACAGCTGTGTAAATTAGGGCAAAATTTTTGGATCTTGGGACTATTTGATTCTGGAAGTCGAAGTCAAGTGGAGACCAGTGACCACGCATCGCCAGCGAACCCAACACAGCACAACTCTGCTTCCCCGCTAGGCGCCAGCCACGGACCACATCAGACCACATAAAAAAAATGACTACCACGGCTACCCACACTTCTACCCAAAATAATGAGTTATCGGAACATACCAGTAATAATAGACATTAAAAATGATACGGCAGTCGGCAACCCAGCACACGCTCACCACCATCACACACAGCGCGCGGCAGGATCGAATGCGCCGTTTCCGCCGTTTTCACACCACATCCGTCTAAGTCCGACGCAATCGTCTGCCAGAATCCAAATAAATGACGTCAGAAGAACAATTTGTGTGCGCTTCTCTTTGGAACTGGAGCCTGGGGGACATGATATCTTCTTGTTCAAAACTCGTTTTTTGCTTATTTTTTCTCACATTTCAAATGTCAAATATCTGTCGAAATGAGCTTGACTGCCACGACCTAGCAATGCACATTGTGATTTGCATAAGAATGAGTCATAAGTAGTTTTCTATTGCCTTGCATAAAACCAAGGCCAAACCAAGGCAAGTCATAATTCAAGTCATATTCACGGATCTTATTCTTGCATCATGATAATGACAGAGGAAAATGACGACATTTACGCGCGACATTACGGAAGAAATAGTAGCACATTCAAGTGTGCTTATATCATTATATAAATGGACAAAAACGAATAAGAGCTTGGATGATCAGGAAAGCTTATGGCCTGCATTCCCATCTACATCCATCACTACGCATGAGCAATGAGCATAATATGCAGGCATATGCAGCAGTTACGTCATATTTTTAGAGATTCGCACATGATCAATTATGAAATACACCACTTGTACACCACCCCTTGACACCACCCATTGTAGAGTTCAGTGACACCACCAGATAAACAAGACCCTTGGAGATTGCGGAGGAGATTGGGGCGGTTTAGAGCGGTTGTCTTTGTTTTCCGGGCTACGGAACCTGCCGGAATTTCGATCGACCCCATCGTCAATCGGTGATAGGGCCCCTATCACCGAAAGAGGCCGTGCGAGGACTTGGTTGCCAGGTTGAGGACGGGTCTGACCAAGGCAGGTCTGACGATGCCTACGCCAACCTCCTCGACCGAGACGACTGGCCACGGTTCGTCGGCTAGACGAAAGCGTCGTGCGGGTGTCGACGCCGCCGCCGTCCCGCCGGCCTTGGTCCAGCCCAAGGCTATATAAACCAGGTAGAACGCTCCCGACGAAAAAGTGGTGACAAGCGATAATTAGTAGCCGCGACCCTCTTTTGTTCAAAACTATATCCGCAAGCAGCATTTACAGGCTAGCGGAAATCGACCAATCGGCGTTCGGCAATACTCAACGCTGATTGGCCCGATGCTCGTGACGAAATTGCGGGGGACTGCAGCTATTCCCCTATGGCGTTTAATAGACTTACGGCTTTTGAAGGGGATTTGTACCAGTTTTTGTTGGGTTTGAGGCCATTTTTGAGCTTGGATATTCTTTCTGTGACTTTTGACTGTGTAATAACGACATTTAATCATAACATTTCTATATACTACCGGTGTCACATCGACCAAAAAGACCGTAAGTACATGGGATAGACGGACCACTGCTGATGGGGCCACACATGCCGGCGTGTGGTCATCGGAGGCCCATGAGGGCTCGACATAGGCCCTTCATGGGTCGGTATAGGCCCGGTGGGTCCAGTGCAAGCCTATCAGGGGCCGGTGCTGACCCAACAGGGCCCAGTGACATATAATGTAAGGCCGTCTAGGGACGTTGAGGGCTCATGGGGGCCATATAGGACCAATAGGGACCACATAAGCCAATCAGGGGCCATTTAGGCCAATAAAGGCACTTCAAGGGACTTGAAAAGGTCATTCAAGAGCTGTGGTGGGCCCATGAGAGGACGGCACCGGTCCAGCAGGTGCAGTCAGGGGATGTTGTACGGGTTTCTCAGTGGCCCATTTGGGCATATCAGTGACCAATTTAGACCCAGCAGTGGGCTTTGTAGACCTATCAGGGGCTGGTGATGGTTCATCAGGGGCCAGCGTTAGTCCATCGGGGCACGGCATATGCCCATCAGAGGTAATTGCGAGCCCACGCTGAACAATGCTGGCCCTTCAACGGCCCCATGGATCTACATTGACCCATGGGCCATGATGTGTCATGTATGCCCCTATGACAGGCCTACTCAGACCCCTGATGGACGTTCCCGGCCTCTGATGACCCTATGCTGAATGCTGATGGGGCTCTAAGAGTCTCCAATAACCCTTCGTCACCCCATTATTACCATACGCTGGCATTAGGGACCCCACATCAGCCGCAGGGCAGTCCGTACCATGACAGCATGTCTTTTCGGCCGATATTTCATCGGTAATATTTATCAAAATCATGATTTTATGGTGCCATTATATAGGTAACAGTCATAAGAAATATATTTCAACTCGAAAACAGCTCGAAACAGCATATGATTTTAAAGAAACCCCTCCGAAATCCAAAAGCCTATTCGGGTCCATAGAGAATAACTGCGGTCCCCCGCAATTTCGTCACGAGCGTCGGACCAATCAGCGTCGAGTACCGCCGAGCGCTGATTGGTGAATTTTCCGCTAGCGTGTAAGTACTGCTCACGGAACAAGAGTTCGTCGACAATCCTCCACAAACGTCTGTCACCATTTTTCATAATGCTTAACAGCCGGAGCGTACCCCCCTGGTCCAGCCTGTCCCTAGCTCGACTACCGGCGTCGGCTGCTCGACTCCCGGGAGCCCGGAGGTGGATTTCTTTTTGGATTTCGTGGCCAGCAGCTCGGATGAGGACAGCGATCTTTGCTCGCTGTTGAACGCAAGGCTGAACGGCTCCTCTGCCTCCGCTGACGCCGCCGGGCGCCGGGCCTACACGGATGAGGAGGAGCACACCCTGGCTCGGCACGTGCTGCAGCTGCGGCGGAGCGGCGCCCGGCTCGGCGGCCGGCACGCCTGGCAGTGTCTGGAGCGGCGCCGGCTGCTGCCCGGCCGCAGCTGGCAGTCGATGAAGCAGCACTGGCGCAGCAGCATGATGCCGCGACTGTTCCCCGAACAGCCGCGGCACCGGCTGGGTGGGAAGGGCCGGCCGCCGTACCGCCGCTTCACCCGCGCGGAGGACGAGGCCATTCTGCGCTACCTGGAGGCCGAGGAGCCGTGCCGCGCGCTCCGGGTCGGCGGCCGCCGGCTCTGGCAAGACATGGCCCTTCAGCTCGGTGGCCGCACGTGGCAAAGCCTCAAAGAGCGCTTCCTGAAGCGGGTGGCGCCCAACCTGAGCCGGTTCAGTGAGGTGTCGCCGGCGCTTCTGTCTGCCCTCCAGTCGTGCACGTCTTACCTGGTGTTGGATATGGACGTGGAGAGTCGCTAGGTCTACCATCGCCGGAGGACGACGATAACGCAGTCACGCAGTAACCCAGGCTGTGGCAAAGAGTTTGTTGATACAGATAGTTTGTTGTTGATGCAGAATGTCTTTTTTCTTCTGTTCTTCTAATCACTAGCTCAGATGCACGAATAAAAAGTAGCGTTTGTTCTGATTGTTTTCATATCTTCGATAATTCCGATCGGCAGATTTCGCTTGCGCCGAATTTCAGCATCATGGCATGTCAACAACTCCCATTAACTTTCGCTGTTAAGAAAATATAGATAGTGTAAGCTGAACACGTGAGGCTACAGCATTTCCTTTCAATCTCAGCATTCATATTCAAACGCATCACCATTCAAATACATGACCTAACCTAACCAAACTTATTCCTGCTGTAGGAAGGGACCATGTTGTGCAGCTACTGACTTCCCAATAGGCAATAACCGGCCGATGAAGTTTTGGGGCCTTGGGCCGATGAAAATGACGCCAAAAAGCTGCGAGTTATAGCACCTCTTGCACCTTGCGGACTGACTCCCCGACTGTCATTGACGGGCGCCCTCGAGCTGGTACCTCTTGGAGTCGCTGGATGGCGCCCTCCACTGCCACTAGAGTGGACGGCAGCCGGCACCCTCAGCCGTTGCTATACGGCGCCCTTGATGGTCGCTGGACGGCGCCCTCGATAATTAGCGCCCTGAGGGTCGCGAATGGAATTACTTCAGGCTGTCGCTGGATGGTGCCCCTGCGATCGCCAGACATTAACGTTCTCTGTACACTCTACACTGGGTAGCGTCCGTTAGCGTCCCTTTTAGAGACCCTTTTAGCGTCCCTTTAACGGTCTCTATGTAGTCATTGGATATCGTCCTCTACATATACGGTCGCTGAACGGCGCCCTCGAGAATTAGCGTCCTTTAGGGCCGCTGAACGACGCCCTCGGTGGTGTATGGACGGTGCCCTCGACTGTCTGTATATACGGCGCCCTCGGCGTTTTCTGGACGGCGCCCTCGACTGTTTTGTACGGCGCCCTCCACTGCCGCTAGACGGCGCCGGCCACTGCCGCTGGACGGCGTCTTTTTGTCCTGACGCCGAGCAGCTCGATCACAGTTCCCGGTAGTGTCAGTAATGGATAGTGACCGACCGAGCCATATCGAGCTGGCAACAACAAAGGTGCGGACGTAGCCGACAATGGCTGCTCGATCTGAGGAATATTGCTTCGCATTGCGGACGTTACCGCCTACCTCTGTGTATGAGAGCGTGCGGTGGTTCTCGGAATGTGTCCTTCAGTGGCGTCCGCATTCAGATGACGGTGGCAATCGGCATAGTTGCCGTTCTGCCAAATGGCAAATAATTAGGTCATAGCTAACATCGGCTTGGGGGGAATCGCAAACTCGCGAATGGCAATCAATGCTCCCGCCCCTCGTCCTGAAATCAAATCAAATTCCTTTACTGATCATGCTGACCCAGGCCGTGATGGATCAATAGTCAGTCATTGGTAATGTTGAAATATGATTGTTTATGCCGTTTGATTCGCCGTTTTGATCTTCCTACTGTTACCTTTTATCCGTACCTACACTTCCTTTTGCTGGTTTTATTTTGCGAGAAGGCAGCAGCGGTTGCTCCTTGTTGACCGTCGTAAGCTGAGTCAAGAGCTGAGTGAGCTCCGTATATTATCTCGTAAACACGGGCGCCGACAGCGAAGAGCGGAGGACATAACAAGTGTAACGATGCCCTGTCCCCGCTCCAGCCTCGGCCTGTCCGGTGAGGTCAGGGGGCGGGGCGGGGTCAGGGGGTGGGGCGGGCCGATATGTGAGCACCGACCGGGGTCGGGGGGTCAGGGAGGGGAGGGGGCCGCTCGGTCGGCGCCGGCGCACACTGGTCGGAAACGCTCCAGCGAGAGGCCAGCGGCCTTTCCGCAAAAGTTTTTTGCTTGTTATTCCACAACTAGTGAAGCAAACTTCATAAAACTTTGCATACCTTCTCTGTCATATGTAATCTATCATTTGGATGTCAAGCACTAAATATGTGACGTGAATTTGTTAAGTTATGACGTCATAATTGAGTATAATACAGGATCTAGCACCACTTTAAGTCAACAAGGGAAATTGGGGGCTGCTATTCGGGCACCGGGAATGGTTTCATGCACTTCTTGCAAGGTCCAGTGCTTGACTTAAGCATTGTTGACTTTGCGTGACGTCATTTATGACGTCACTAAGGCCATATAAGTTTTTCGTCAATAACTCCTGATCAGATGGAGCTAGAGAGTCGGGAAAGCCACCATTGGACTCAGGAAGACCTGCCGAATCGAATGATATGCAATATGACCTCATTCAACCATTTTCGTGACCTGAGGGGCTCCGATCTGACCTTGACCCGAGGTTAACACCTTAAGTTGAGTTCACCCGAACACCAAGTATAGCATTCAACGCGCCTGAGCTAGACAAACACGATGATGCCAAAATCGCGGCAGTGCGACCATTTTTGGTAAAGTAATTAACCTAAAACCGAACCCGTGCCTTGTGGCACTTACCTGACCTAAGAGGTCACTGGCTGACCTAAGACCTTAAAATCGGGTAGCACCTGATTTTTGCGTCTTATAACGGCACACAAGCTTTTTTTCCGCCAGGCTCTAGCTCAATTAGAGGCGAAACGGCGAGGGAGTTGTACCAACCCTCCCCGGTCAATATAGAAAACCAATCGGTCCGGCCCGGGGTAAATACCGGAATTGTGATCTAATGTAACTAAAGACGGCCCAAGGTAACCCGACGTCAGTGACAGGCGTCCTATATTTGCAGCGTCTTATATTCACGAAGGTTTCAATTTCCACTTTCTTCAGCCGAGTGATGGTTGTCAATAGCTGATAGCAAGGCTCTCTAAATACAAGCCGTAATCGCCACGCAATATGTGGAAGGCTTTTGATGTCAATACATCAACATAAATGCATACATAAAACGCGCTTTTCACAAAATTCATAAACTCAAGCGCATCTGTTTTTAATGACCAGTCAACTACGCATGGATGCGTGCAGGCCACACAGGTCAGCGTAAGCCGGGCGCGGCGGCCGAGCCGAAACTGGGGCGGGGCGGGCGGTAGTTGGGTAGGAAGAGCGGCTCCTGCAAATTTTGCGCAAATATGCGCAGTTAGCTTTTATGTTGCCCTGGTGTAAATTTAAATCCTACTTCATCTCACAAAAAATCAGAGTGGAACTAGATGGGACTACCTGTTGTTTCCTTACCTAAACTTTGCAGTTATATTCCAGAATCACTGTAGGAGAGCCTTCATAAAAAGCTATAGTACATCTTAGTTAGGGATTTAGTATGCCAAAAATTTTGCACTGACCAGTCGGCAACTTCATAACGAACATTTTGATGCATAATATGTGGGATTTCAATTTGGTGTCTATCAGCAATAAGACTCTGAATATCCGGCTCAAGAAACCTCTTGCTCCGCGTCAGTTTCCGAGTTCTGGGATACCCCATCTTCGGGGGCTGATTACAGTTATTTTTGGTCACCCGGATTAGTTTTTTGGCCTAAGTATAATAATTTGATCAATTTCAAATCGATCTATATAAAAAATAATCCGAAACTCCGGAATCGCCCGTGGCCTCTCGTCAGGGCGTTTCCGACCAGTGTGCGGCGCCTCGTTATCGGTTGGCTGCCGGAGGAGGGCAGGGGAGTGGAGGGGAGGGGAGGGCCTAGACTGCGCGGCGGCCGCCCGGCAGACAGCGCGGCGCCGCCCGGCTGCTCGGAGGCCGCCGTCACCGACCGACCGACCGACCGACCGACGCGACGGAGGGACGCGGCGCCCACAGGCACGGCCGGCCGGAACTGAGCACTGAGGGAAGGTGAGTTCTCGACAGACGACCGAGGGGCTTCCAGGGAAGGTGAGTCCGTACAGCAGACGGCTGAGGGGCCGAGGGAAAGTGAATAGTGAGCCCCGTCAAGCTGCGCCCGAAGGACTGAGAGAACTGAGAGTGTGGGAAGGTGAGTCTTCAGCAGATCTCCGAGGGACTGAGGGAAGAAAAGTCCTCAGTAGACGATCGAGGGACTGAGGAAGGGTTAATCCTCAGCAGACGACCGAGGGGGCGGCGGAGGAAAAATGAGCCCTCATGAGACGGTCGAGGGACTGAGGAAAAGTCAGTCCTCATGAGACGGTCGAGGGACTGAGGAAAAGTGAGTGCTCAGTCGAAGGCCGGGGGGGGGGATGAGATGGGAATTGATTTCTCGGCAGATTTCCGAGGGCCTGAGGGAAAGTGATTCCTCAGCAGGCGGTCGGGGACTAAGGGACGGTGTGTCTTCAGCGGCCGATTGTTCGACCTGGCACTGAGAGTGGACGAAAATGTGCATTATTTTGTCTTAAGGTCAGTTTGTATGAGCTATTGGTGTTGATGTTGCCTGATATCATTAATATCCTTGCTGAGCGTATGAGTGCTGTCAAATTACACACCGCGCTCTAGACTTTCGCTCGCATCAAGCCTATCTATATATGTAGAACATAGCTAACTTTTTCTATGGGCTAGTTGATCATGTGACCTGCGTGCGTGTGTTTTTGTTGGACAAAGTTTTGAACAAAATCGGTTTTGTTCCAAGTGTCTGCCTAATTATTTACCTACACCGGGCTCTGCTTAGGCTTTAGATGTAGAAAAGGAAAGCCTAATAGTTCGACTTCATGACTTTACTAATCACAATATTAGTCATTGGAACTGTTCTGGGAAACAGATAAGCCCGCGCACATGGCCGGGCATGCCCCGATACATGGTTGACACTTGACTGGAAGCTCCACAGAATCGCTCTCCAGTTCCGAAATTGCATAGGTACGTAATTGTCCGATAATTCCGATTCTCTATTTTCAAACGGTGTTTGATAGTCCTGATAGAACGGTCAAACCATGCGCAATGCGATGACTGACCTAGAGTCCTTGACATCACAATGACGTTAGAGGCCACATCAAGGGGAAAATCATCCATATTTACGCATACCTATCCACGCTTTGGACGCTAGTAGCCGTTTAACATATCACTTTTGTGACTCAATGTCAAATCATGTTACAAAAACCCGGTACGCATAAATAAATAAATAAAAGTTAAAAGTTAAGAAAAATACGTTCCATTCAGCTCGTCCCGACAGTGAAAATACGATCACCTATTCTTTTAGCGATTTCGTATGCACTACCGGTACCGATGCATCCAATTTTATTGCAAATAAAAACGTTTTCCACCATTAACACCACCAACGTCAGTTAATTGCTTTTGCCCTCTGAATGCCAAACCGCTGACTTTGAAATTGAATTTAACGAAGCAGTAGAGAGAAAGGCATAGGCGGCGGAACGGGGAGGGCACCGGGGCACCCTGCCCCCCTTTGATTTTGGCATTTTAACATTAGCCCTATGGGCGTTGCATGGAAAGAATGGGACCAAAAGTCGGCAGTGCCCCCGCTTAACCCTCGCATGTGTAGGGGGGTCGGATGGACCCCCCCCCATGGTTTTTCGCGAATAACTCGCGTAAAAAGCGGCTGATTGCGACGAAACTTTCAGTACCCTCGCATTGATCAATTTTACACCTACCCTGAAAATTTCATGACCCTGACCCAAATGACCTTTGACCTGTGACCTCTTTTCCGAGACCATGTTTGGCCGGAATCGCGATTTCGCGTATGTCGGCTCGCATTAGCCGCGCGTTTGCAAGCTTTTCGTGGTTTCAAACGTTCAAACATGTGATTTGATGTTGATCCCATACATTAGGGTGGGTGTGAAGGTCACCTGAAGGTCAGGTCAGGTCATTGACCTTTGGTGACCTCGGGTGACCTCGGTTCACTTTTTCGAGTTTTACATGTTTCTAGGCTAGTTTTTGGAGCTGAATTCGCATTTAGCAACGATTTGAACATTTACGAAGTAGTTTTGGTGACTTCGTAACATGTTACGAAGCTGTCAGAGGCGGTTGACACGTACTACGAATACCCGTCACGACGCCTACTGGTTGACCTGACCTGACCTGACCCGACCTGGTCTAAGTGCTTAAAGACATCATCTCTGATCAAAACTAACACGATATTCGTGATCAGCACCTCGGAAAACCACTTAGCAGCCACACTTTACGACTTTCTAACAGGTCCCGATTTTCCCGACTTTGGGTCATTGACCTGACCTGGAAGGTCAACCAATGACCTAGGACCTTAAAATTGGGTATCATCGGCTTCCTCTCGTCACGGGCAACACGCTCGTTTTTTTCGCGAAGCTCTAGCTCGATCAGGGGCTAAACGGCAAAGGGGGAGGGGTCCAACCGACCTCCCCCCCCCCTACACATTAGAAGCTGGCAAACGCCGCACACATGCGAGGGTTAATTGAAGGTGCTCGGCCGCTACTGGAGAAAGGGCCTTGAAATGATAGGTAATCGAATCCTTGATGTCATTTAATTAAACGTCAAAATCGATAAATTTTGACCGAACTATAGGTAAGCACTTCTGGTAGCCTGACCTTTGAATTATTTGTTACGAAAGTCATTTATATATCACTTTGAAACCCGTTTAAACACCATTTTATTTTTTCGCTTCGCTACCTGAGTACCCAGTAGCCAAACAGAACAGGAGCGAAAAAACGCCGTCCTCTTACCCTCCCCCGTAAACTCTATTTCGGTGTGTGAGTTACTCTATTTAAACTCTATTTCGGTGTGTGAGTTACGGGGGGTTTCTCGTGTGCCGTTGCCAAACGCAGCAAGAATCCAGCTCAAAGTAGGGGAGAGTGGGGTAATTTGGCCGCTTTTTTTAGAAAACGATGTAACTAAAAAACGACAACACATTTCTGCATTTTCTCAACGCTGACAGGTGTGGCATACATTTTACTTTACTGGACAGTAAACTCGAAATGATAGAGTAACTACTTATATTGAAATTGTGACGTATTACAAAGGTCTGCAAAGCGGCCAAATTGCCCCACTAACAGGGTTATTTGGCCGGGGGTGTGGGGCAATTTGGCCGGTGTTAGTTTGAGGCCATGATTTTTGTTATAGGCGAGTCAGCTTCACATTCAGCAATGACTCGTGTCCTAAGACGCATTTGAAGCATTTTGAAGGTTGACTCAGCCGTCACAGGGGTCGAAAATAGTCAAAATAGCGGCTCTAGATGCGATGACAGTTTTTTTTTACGAATAACTTTTGAAGTAATCAAGCTAGGCCAAAACTAAAAGTACCATCGTAATTCTCTCGTCATTCCGCATCGAAACATGTATGTGTTGACCTCGAGAGGTCAAGGTCAAAGGTTGGCTTAAGGTCACGTTACCTCAGGTCGCTTGACCTCAAGGTTACGTGAGTCATCATGTCATCATGCATATCATGTATATCATTCGATGCGCCTTGACGAGCTGAACACAATGAGACCATTTGCGCGGCTGTATCTTTTTTCTGTAAGTATTTATTAGCAAAAAATCGTTAGGTAACCTTTGATGACGTCACATGCATGGCATCAAGGTAGTCAAAGTTGGTCATGAATCATGTCCTTTATGGTATAATTGACCATGACAACACGGCCGTCCCAGCATAGTGACTCTGAGCGCACCGGCCAAGTTGCCCCGCTAGACCCGGCCAAATAACCCCACATTGCCATTCTGAAAATTTTTGTCTATAAAGTTGTCATGGCTGTACAGAACTACATGAAATTGTTCTTGGAACCGCTGAATACCCTCAAGAATGGCGCTATAATGTTGGAATTCGTTTACAGCCCAAATACTACATGTTATACAAATTTTTAAACGGAAGTAAAAGTTACCATTTTCTAACGAAATTCACGTTTTATTAATTTTGAATAAAACTAAGAGGGGGTAAGTTTTGACATTTGTCCTCGAGTTAGTTCTGCCGATGACAAATGAATAGAGGCAAAAGTTATTTCATTCACTTTTATCAGCTTTCTTACAGGTGGGGGCGGCCAATTTACACCACCGGCCAAATTACCCCACTCTCCCCTACCTAGGTGACTTTTTAATATTCATCGCACACGTTCTGGCAAAATAAAAGTAAAAATTAAAATGCCGGTTCAGGTCAGATCCCAGAGCGGGTTTGTTTATTCCACCTCAGAAAAGTTTGCAATCACGCCAGGGCTAGTTTTTTTTAACGCAGAACATTTTTTCTCTTAGAATTGATTTGGGGATTAGTGCAGTATCTGTATTTCAGAATTTATATATGCTTGACCGAAGGTAACGTCAGATTCGTCATCATCACGTTATTTAGGTACAATACAAGCCCATGGGAAAATATTAACCCTCGCCCCGTTGGGGGGGGGCCATTTTGCCCCCCCCCCCCTGTGGTTTTTCCTAAATGCCAAATTTTTAGTACCTTCCGGGGCATCAATTTGACACCTTCACACCAAATTTCAAGTCTTAGGTCACCTTAGGTCAGGAGTTATTGAGGTCAAACTGAGGTCATGTTCAAGCAAAAATGAGCAAAAAACATGCAATCTTGAAACGCTCACCAAATCTACAGTTATCAAGCAATTTCAAAGTTCTTTATATGGTCTAGTAGAAAAAAGCGGTGCTACAAAACTGTTATCTCGGATTTTCAAAATTGTGGGTTTTTGGCCCCAAAAATTCAAAAAATTGTATTTTTTAGAAAAACTAAATAAAATCCAAAACTTTTCCGAAGTTCGAAAAAACGAAATATCTGTGATAGTCCCTGCGCTCTTCTATATACATACCAAATTTCAGATCGATATCTCGTTTTTTGGCCAAGTTATAGCGAAAAAACTGTTCAAAAATAATGACGTCAAATTTTTGAACTCAATTTTAGCGATTCTAGAGCACGTACGGCAAAACAAAGACCACCATTGAACTCCCCGTGACGAGCTGCATCGATTTGATACC